AGTGTCTCGTTCGTCAAACTTCCAGAAGGAATAAAATCTACGGTTTCCTTTATAGCTGTTTTAAGTATATTATATAGAAAGGCAAGTAGTTTGCAGTGGCGTATCCACGTTAGTAATTGTCTTTTATAAAGACATCAGTAAATATAGGGTTTCAGGTGTTTTATTAGCCAATGACAAGCTCCGTAATAATAACATTGTTTTAAACCGGAAACAATGCAGTAAGATGACTTAGATATAAAAGTACGAGTATGGAGGAAACGGTATGTACATCACCACGTCACGCACGCAATTTCACAGACATCAAAATCTTGTTAGGTAGTAAGCGGGGTTAAATCACTCAATCCCATAAGCTCATTAATATGCCAGGATTCCATATATGGTATAAAGGAGAAAATAGATTAAGTAGTGTGATACATTTATATACATCAGGCTCGTGGAAGCAATGAAGTAAATGGGACCATACCATCTGTGCAGCGGTAAGGGAGTAGGTGTGATAGCGCTGTGGAGTGTTGTGCGGCGCTTATAAGTCTGAAACCATCGACGTAAGTCACTAAGCTGCAGAAGCCACATCTCCAGGCAAACACCAAATACTGTAATATGCCCGAACGTAAAGTATTTGTCAACCTAATCTTAATGAAAACAGTTCTGACTATCACTGGGCATCTTGATGCTTATCAGTCTCCATACGTATACACCATACCCTATTGTGCTATGTATTTGTGGACCGCAACCCATACGAGCTGAAGCTGTCAGGTGACTGTTTGGTCGACATTGATACCACACAATCGCTCACAACCAGTGGTAACACCCAGCTTCTTAATTAGTTCTGACTCAAGTCGTGTAAAAAAGCAGTCATCGTCAGATTTTTCAAAAACCTTGCATCCAAAAGCCGCTCAGTAGTCTATTGCTAATGGTAAGAGCCAAGTACCCCATCGTCGGAAATGATTGCAGTTATTGCTAATAAGATAAAAATGTTAAAAAAAAAGTTGTTTTCGTTGTCTGTGTTACCTTAAGTTTCATCCCACGGCACAGATTAGTAAGTCAATTAAGAATGTGAGAAAGAATGAACATATAGGGTAAAAATCTAAAGTACCTTATGCATGATTCTGATGAACTAAATTTTCGGAGTATATCACGAACAAAGTGAAGTATTAAAATACTAACCACTCAGCGTTTGGGATGCAACATTTTCGTCAAGAGATTTGCAAACGTTAAGCTTAACTTTGGAAGAGTCAAGAAAGTGCAGCCTATGACGAAATACATGGAATACTTCATAAATTAATGATCGTTTACATTGGGAAAGTATTTTAAAACCCAACTAATACGTGAAATTGTCTTAAATAACGACCTGTTACCGGTAAACGAATTAGCTAGAGGGAAACCTCCAGTACGAGAATGAGTGATCCGATCTTGAATCAACTATCAGTAACGAGATTCCTTGGTAGTATGAATGGACTCCATTTTTAATGTCAGGATCTTACCATTACTGTTGTGTGTATTTTTCATCGGATATTAAAGTCGAGACCTCCTTGGTTTTCTACTGGTAAGTAGGCTGTATTTTAGGTAGCAAATAAGACTAAATCAAATTATATGATATCAACAGATATGAAGTGAGAGTTACAATCTTTATTGTTGAGTTCTGAATGACTCACCTCAAAAGTTAGGTTGAATCTAGCCGAACTATTATATTGGTTTGGATGTAAGTTCTCGTTCTGCAATTTTCTCAGTAAGCTAAACTCTTATCTCACTAAGTGTCCAAATGTCACTGGTTCGTAGCAGGAATTAAGTCTATCTACCAAAGAAGTGATATTTCATACTATGTCGATAGAGATAACCTTCAAGCCACAATTTATTAAACAATTCTAAGTGGATGTCTGGCGCTTTAACCGGGTTGGTGGACACGAAGGGTCAACATAGGGGAGTTGGAAGGCCCTTGTCCCAAACCAATGGTGCACATCGGCCCCAGGGAACAAATGGCGTATGAACCTTTTGTTGGTCACCCACTATCACGGGACTGCATCTCCTAACTTTACTCCACTGCCTTGTGGATTAGGTCGATAGGTCAAAGGTTCGGGGAGTGGCCTGAGAAAAGCAGCTGTTTCAGTTCGGGCTCCCAGGTAGTATTTCAGCCCTCACACATCGTATGGATTGTGTGGCGCATATGTATTCGGTGTCTTCTTGTACCAATGTCTAGGTGTTTAAATATAAAGCTGACAGTTTAAAAAGCATCCCAATAAATGATGTCCGTGAGGTATCATACTCATCTCTAACAATAAATACAAGTGACAGATGGAATACATAATCATTTAGTGTCTCGAACAAATATAACCGATCCCGACTACAGCTAGCTAACTTAACAAAACCTCAAGTTACCAATAAGAGAATTAAATGCACATACATGTGTACCTTCCTAATATACAACTTAACAGCCAACAGATATTCGGGAACAAAAAACAAATTACTGTATTCGATACTGTTATTATTTTTATTATCACTAGTAGTAGTTACTATCTGTTATCACTGTCTTATCTCAAAGGCAAACAATATACATAGTTATATATTGTTTAGTCAAACAAAACAGAATTTTGACAAGAGGGAATTGTAGACCAAAAGAATGAGCGAAGAGAGGGGGGTGGGCGCAAGTCAGAAAATGTGAACACCACAAGTAATACGCGAAATGAAATATTTAGAGTATGAGATAGAAAAAAGAGCAATACATAATAGCCAGAAAATATTAAACGCATTAGAAGACATTTAACAAAAATGAAGCAGAACTATTCAGTTAATAAAGCCATTGCTTTCTGTAAAGAAAGCATCCGTCGTCAAATAGCTCATTCTTCACAAGTACACACAGAGAACGAAGTTATTTTATATGAGGATCCATTGATGCACATAAGTTAAAGTGTGAGAAAAGATGTGTCGAAACACATGTTTTAGAGGAAAATATATCGCACAAACTAAAGACGCGACTGCAGGAGAGACATGATACATTTGAATTAAAGCAGCAATAACAGAGAGCAGTAATAATATTCGTCGAAAAAAAAACAATGAAATGAAGCAGTGTATAACATATGTTTATGCGATTTTGACCAACAGGCCTGTTTATGAGTTTGCATTTACATACACATACACCTTCAAGAATTAAAATAAGAAGAATTAAAATAGAACTGAAGAAAAATGAAATACATAGTTAAGTACCAAACGTTTATATTTATAAGACAAGACTACAATTGAATACAATAGATTTAGTCATTGGCGCACATGCAACCATGAATGTAAGCGTTAGGCGTAAAATTCAAATGTTTACTGCATGTGTGCATATATATCTATATACTGCGTATCAACACATTCATATCTGCACATGTCAATATAGCAATAAGTTGTATATGGAGCAGAGAAAAGCGCATTTATGAATTGAGAATGTATGTTGCCTTGTCATGGTGGACAGTAGTATAGTAACAATAATAATAATAGATAACAGATTGAGGAATTAAAATCGGCAAGGCATGAAAGAGAAAATACAAGGTGACCATAGTTTACTTGGAAACGAAACACAAAATGAGATTATGCAATCAGAGATTAACGCTAGAGGGAGAGAGAGACACACACACACAAAACCGTGTGGCACAAAAATACATACTATCGAGCGAGGAAAAAAAACAGGATATTAGAAGACAGAGTGGAAAACAATATAGTGAATAGAAAAAAATTGATTTATTTCCCTAATTCACATATGGAGAAATGTCTTTTTTTTTCTTGAATTTTTATTGGAAAATCCAACACTAGAGAGTAGTTTGTTTTTTCTCTCTGTTTATTCAAACGAATGAACTCAAAAGATATGATCATAGTATTTGAATAGTGACAAAATGAAGTTATGCAAATAAGAATGAGTACAAATGTTTACCGTATTCCCCTCCACTCCTTAGTGAATTCAATTACATAACAATGAAACAATGTAGATAATAGTTTATTCCACCTTATCAAATTTTAGTATTGTTGTAAATATATTTTATTTCAAAATACATTATTTGTGTCAAAGCACAAAGCGTTAAAAATAGTGAAAATAGAAAAACACAAGCATACATAAATACATACATACATACATACATACATACAAAAGGAAAGCATTAAATAATAATCATTTCATAAATTTAGTAGGAGCAACGAAACATGGCAGCACCTAGTTTATTTAGTTACTTATCTATTCTCATTCCATAACAACAACAACATGATACGAAATATTGATCATCATTTGAACTAGCCGCTACTTCTATCATTGTTTCCGATTACAGTACTGTAAGTTAAAAAAGATTTTACATACAAAAATGTTTGAGAGAGAGAGAGACAGAGACATAGTCGAATGGAACTATCATCATTATTATTACTAATGAATTGTTTTGCCTGTTTCAACATTTGATTTATTTAATTTTAGGCATTGAACAGATAAAATCCACTTACATCACTTGTATGTGTTATTTAAAAAATGTGTATTCTAGTTATTTATGAAATTGTTAAGCAAGTGTATCTGTGTCTCAAGGTAAGTATTAACATTGAGAGAAGAGAAATGTAAAAGCATTCGATTATACAACTATTCTTTTGTAGATTACAAATGGGAGAACAAAACAAAAAGGGAACACAAAGAAAAGATAAGATAAAAAGGTATTTCACAACAAATAAGAAACGAATGTGAATTATAATTGTACGATTATTAGCATTATTATTATATAATGTGTTATTTGTGAAAATACTTTCTGCATTGTAGACGTGCATCTTACACTCGCTTACAGGTTCTATGCAAGTGTACAACATGATTCTTAAGCAGTAATCGAGAGAGAAAAAAAAGAAAGATATGTACTCAACTGAATGATGAATAACTGCACCAAAAAGAAACCATACATAAATCAACACGACCAATAATAATAGACAAATATCAAACAAAGAAAGGAAACATAGAACAAAGAAAATAAACAGACAAACAAATAAATAAAATAATCAGTCAATTAATACAAACCACATCCTTTCAGATTATTTGCTATAATCACATCGGTAACAGCATCGAACACAAACTGAATATTATTTGTATCAGTGGCACATGTTTGATGACAATAGATTTCTTTATTAGGTGATCGGTTTTTTGCTTCGAATGACGCTTGAATATAAATAGCCGCTTCTTCATACGTTTGTTTACCTATTTTGTATATGTGTATATGTATCAAAAAAAGGATGGTAATGAATAATAGTTTAAATAAGAAATATTATCCAATTATTTACATAACAGCAAGATTGATTGGTTGTTAAGCGTCGATAGCACATCAAACAAAACCAATGGGATAATCAAAAAATTATAATAAAAAATTGGCCAGATTTATGGAGATGGAAACATTTTCTAAAAAAAAATTATTTCCATGATAGATTTACTGACATTATATAATGGAAATTGTTTTCTGTTTAGAGAATCTATTCCTTCCACTAATCGAAAAGAGAAAAATTTGGCTACTTATGAATGATGAATGATTGAGATTTCAAGTGAACCAATTTATCTTTTTAATTATCTGATTACATTTGTCTTATAGCTTCAAACCATATCATGAGCACGTCATGATCGGAATATAAAGTGAAAGTGTTGACTGTTATAAAACTCACAGATTACTACATCCCCAGTTCAATAAATATGTGGACTAATCGTTAAAGATTTTGGTGAAATTGATAAAGAGTACGCCGTTTATGGAGATAGTTTATTTTAAAAAATAGATCTTTTTAGGCTGGCTAAGCATTTCAGTGGGGTGTTGTGAAGATCTGAAAGATATATCAAAGCTAAGATGACTATCAACCCACTGTGTTGATGAAAAACATATGACGTGTAAGCCTATTAAACAGAATATGTATAACTATCATACACAAATCTCTTGTACATGGCTTCTGAGTTAAAATAATTTATTGAATGACTTTAGGTTAGTTCCTAAGTGATTAGATTCGTAGATCACAAACAAATTGTGTTCGCTCATAATCAACACCCATTTACAAGTTGTTCAGGAAACATAATTTTCGTTAGCGCCACAGATACACTGTGTTAATGGGTGTTGAACGACTTTAACATAAAATTTATCTGCTGACACTTATTACCGACCGATGAATAGTCTGCCATTAGGGGCGGCCAAACCAAAAGTGGCATCAGTCCACAAAGTCACTAACTTCTAGTCTGAGCCATGTTGAGAGATGCAGACTACTTGGTTGGGGTCCGCGTGACTATCGTAATCAATGGTTGGAGACTCTTGGTGACATGGCTCAGAATCGACCACAATGGCGTAGGTGTATACATTCTCTGTCTTCCCTTAAACTAAGAGTTCAAAATCGCTTCATATCTTTATTTCCACCAACTAATTTTTTCTTCCTTTACTATGTTCTTATATGCAATCTTTCTTTTATATATTACCACCATTGACTTAACTACTCCAATGAATCCGGTGTTCATTTTGCTGTGCTAATACGGTATGGCAACTTGGACCGATGTATACATGTGCCTGGTCCTACGTTGTAGCTGACTGACTGACTGTGAGGAATCTATCAGGTTCTCTCACTGTTGAAATCGAATAGGACGACATCATAACACAACACAAATAAGTACTTATCACACAAAAACCAAGTATAACAGATTCGCGTACTCGCAGCTCTCAATCATCGTCTTTTGTGATATTATGCCCTGCTAGGAATGAATTAGATTTCGAGTGGTTCGAATCAACAGCCTATTTGTTTGAAAGATATATTGCTTCAAGTAGACTATCCAATATTTTCAGAATTCCAATAGTGGCCTAACATTGATCGATTTATAACCTCAATCAAAAACTATCCAGCTAATTGGAGAAAAAAAGTATGCATACGATAGTAGAAGCCAATTTCCAAAAAAAAGAATACATACCTGGATATTCTGGGAAACAAATAGTCAATGGGGAACGTTTGATTTTCTCTTCGAATAGATCTTTTTTATTTAAAAATAAAATAATACTTGTATCAGTGAACCATTTATTATTACAGATTGAATCGAATAATTTTAATGATTCTTGCATACGATTCTGTAAAAAGAAAATAAAAAAGAATGAAAATAACAAACTTGCAAATATACTACTTATTCACTACTGAGCGAAAAAAAAAGAAAATAATCCGTTTGAGGTTTATAAATATTTTCTTTATAAAAATAAAATTAGGTGGTAAGAAAAGTTTATAACTCAAATGGATGATGTTGGTTGAGTTTCGTTCTCTATAGGGAACGATTTAATCTTATAGTTTTAATTGTCCTTCTGGATATTGTCGGTAGGAAAATTCTAGTGGAAGTGAGCTACATGAATTTTCTTACATATGACCGCCAGCTTATTCTTTCGTTAATATTTCATGGTTGTTTTTGTTGACCATTATCCGATCAATGACTGCATATTCATTTTGAATGTCATCCCTGCTGACCTTATAGTTCTCCATGATTTTGTTTTACTGGTTGATAAACTGGTTTGATTTCGATATGTTTATTGATTACTGATTGACTGAGTGCGATGCTTCCAAGAGACCTCTGGTCTTCTTGGTATTTCCTTTATTCACGATACCGCCATTTTCCCAGTTGAACATGTGTTCATAACCATATACATGAATTGATATAACTAAAGATATGTAACGGCACTTGACAGTTTGCTGGTGTTCACATCCAGACGGTCACACCTTGTTCGATAGTGCTTTTCTCGCAGTTGAAACAGTTTATTTTGCAAACGATGTTTAACTTTTTCACTTTTGTCATTTCATACTTTGTATAAGATTGACTGAACCGATTTCATTGGTTTCTACAAATACCTTACTTTTATCTGAATTTATCCAAAAAGATAATCAAAACTTCATGATGAAACCATCCAGCTCAGATGGTCAAATTCCTTAGAGAACAGAGAAGTATATATTCCTCCCAGTTAGTAGTAGTATGGATTGAGACATAGAGTAAGTGAACACATCTACTCCTGCCTAATTATTTCAATCTTCACGATTTTTACCATTGGTTGACAAGATTCTGTGAGGAAAAAAGATTGAGACATGTTAAAGGATGGCAGACTAAATTCTATTAGTGCATTGAAAGTCTTTCGGATCAAACCTCTAAAGTATTTTTCTGATTAGTTAGTTTACGATTCGTGGATTTAAAAAACAGCACGATTGACTTATTATTAATAGTAGCAATAGTATTTAGTAACAATAGTATATACTAGTCGCCAACATTGTCTTCTTTTGCTTTATACATTAAAAATCTGGTATTCGGAGTGACTACACGCTATTCATGATGATCTTGTTAAACTTAGAAATACAAATCAAAAATATGAAGTTTATGTAAGGGGAATGTGTTTTCAAAGAGCATAAAATACAGATGCAACAGACTATACGATTTATTAGTTACTCAGGATTAACATCGAATCTACTTTCATTCCATCCTAAAATGACGACTACACCGATCAGAAGCGACGTAATCAAACTGGTAAATTGATATGAATATCCAAGAAAGGTAGTACATTCACATTACTAATTAAAATAATAAAGATTTGAACGGTTGTAGTCCAGTTGATCAGTAATAACCAATGATAAACCTAGCACAAATATGTGTTGGTCGAATTCGTCATATCATATTGGCGCGACGAAATGAAAATTAACAAGTTGAAAATAGATCGAAATAATGTGGTAGCAATAATAATGAGGAAGATTGAACATAAAGAACACCATCCGATAAATTAAAGAGGTATGTATGAAGGAAAATTGGAACTTAATGTCTAAACTAAGATAAAGAGTGAATGCATCATTATTAGTGAGAACGATTCGAGCCATGTCATCCAATGTCTCTAACCACTGATCGTGGTTACCGTACGGACTCCAATCATGTATTCTGCACCTACAAACACAGACCAGACTGATAGTCAGTGACCTCATAGACTGATATCACACCTTTAATTGGCTGTGCATAGTTTTCTCCCAACTTACACTTCCATCAGTTATAACATTGTTCTCTGAAGTGGACAGTGGTTGAACATACAAAACACATTATTTGATTTCAAAGAATACTACTTTCCTAACCATCAATTCAACTAAAATAAATGACAATCAAAATTATACTTTTCTATCGTACACATAACCACAATCAAAGAGAATTACTTGTCGTTCAATCACAAGATTGTAAAGTCCGAACTCCGTGTCATCTACTTTGGGTGTGCTTAGTATAGTGTCAAAATTTTTGACCCTATATCGAGTAAAAAAACAATTGTGATGATACTTGACACTCCATTGCTGAATGTCTTTTGTGAATTCCTCATTCGGTATCGAAATAATTAGTTAGTATCAAAAACCTAGAAAATTCATTTTATGTTTCTTAATAAACCACTCTATTACAAAATTAATAAAGGGATACAAAACCAATCCATACAGATTTGGATCTGGGCAAAAGAAGCCTTAGGACTGCTAGGTTAAAAAAAAATACAGATTTGTAAAGGAAACCCATCACCCTTTCAAATTCATGATGACTATTTTAGAAGTTCGATACAACATCATACACTAAAGTAAAAAGTGATGATTAGTAATTTCGAGAATCTACTAAGATTTTCTAAAAATTAATAGACATACTGTTGTCTCATCTTCATGTAACACTTGATCATATTCACTCATAGCAACACAGAAAATAATTGCTGTCACATCTTCAAAGCAATGAATCCATTTTTTACGCTCCGATCGTTGTCCACCCACATCAAAAAGTCTAAATTTTATCAAAGATAAAAACAACAGGGCAACATAACACATAAACACAAGTCAAAAATTATTATTAGTCAGGAAATTTTTGTTAAACGAATTGTAACTTAGCAGGAAAGTGAAATTTGTTATATAAGATTAAACACGTGATTCTAACTTAGTGGAATAGTGAGATGACAATGAAACTCAACTACAGGGTAAACAAAAATAAACTGAAAATACCTGAACTACTTATAAGTAAACAACTTAAGTATACACAAATATTACCAAAATGGTTGATGTATTATTTTGACCAAAGACAGCAGAACAATTTGCATTAAAACCAATAGCGATTAGTAATCTCACTTAGAAGAGGTTAACAATCCGAGAACTATATGGGTTCGATTTGTTACACCTCATGATAGTATATCAGAAGAAAATGAAGGAATAAAATGAAAACAAGAGAATTTAGAGAAGTACAATAGGTTGGCTCAGTATGCAAAGATATGATCACATGAACCTTAATTTCAAACGTTAAATAAGCATAAACTTCTTAATATTAATGATACCCAACAAACACCTATTTCAGAAAACGCATCAAAAATCAGTGAATCCAATTGTTTATGACGTATTTAGACAAAACATCAAAGTTAGGAGGTTTAGACACATAAAAGATTCTATCTAAGCCAGAAAGTTTATTCTGAATCAGTCAATAGATCTAACCAAAACAAATACCTATTTGGAATAAAAATTGGACATTTGTATTTTGAGTAAAACTTCTTGATCTGTGATAGCTTAAAGGAATAAAATATTTAAAAAAATAGTTACCATGAAATGAATCAAGCTATAAAGAAAGAACTTTTGTTATCAAAATAACATTTACTGAAGAAAAAAAAAAGAAATCACTGTGAAATATATACCTATTTATATGAAAAAGATATGAAATGATATAAGCTGACTGGTTACTCTGTAAGCTTCAGAGTTAATAACTGGTAGAATTTGGTTGTGTAGATAAAATTTCAACCTCTCTTATCTTTCAAAATGAAGAAGAAAAAAAGGCGAGACTATAATTTGTAAACAAATCAATCAGATATTAGATAGCAGGTCTCGGATTTCGGAGCGAAATTCACCCATCTGTTTGGTTAGATAGATTTTTGGCATGATAGCTGATATCGATTCGTGATGAAAACCCCTAATTTAATTCCTAACCTTAACCGTCAACTGTAAATCAAAATTCTAATTCCTCATACTGGTTTATAACCATCATTCGGTCCTAGTTATTAGGTGAACACTCTCAAGGTCACCCTAGCGTCCCTCAAAGGTCGTTCACAGATTATAGTCTCATCGAAAAGAAAATAATAAAGTCTTACAGAACTAAATTTAGTCAAATGAAATGATATCAATGACAAAATTGGAGCTAAAAAATCCATTAATTCATAGCTATATAATATACTCTTGTGGGTCAGGGTAATTTTACATTGGTTCTCAGAACCAGAAACCATCCAGACTTTCACGTGACAACTCGAACAGTACAGCTCAATCGCGTTTAACAGGAGAGTCACACACTGCTAAGGCTTAAAATTTGTAGCCCAAATAGTACAGCTCAATCCCGCTTCACAGGAGAACCAGACACTATATAAGTTGTAACTCTACAATCTGAATAGTACAGCTCAATCCTGTGGTGCAACAACCACACAGATACCAAGTACCCTGGTGGACAAAATACATTAATCAATAAAAAAAAGAATTAATGTCAAAATACACATACTTGAAATTCATATTTTTAAATTGAAAGTGTACTTCCACGATACCAGTTGTTTTAACACGAGTTCTAAGAATATCTTGCTCGGTTGGCATATAATCTTTAGCACCAAGACGATCCAAATCATCAAGAAAACTAAAAGAGAAAGGTATAATTTTCAAATAACACAATGTCAATTTTGACTGAACAACAGAAATTCGATTATTTATATATAGAGAGATATAAAGGATTATAGACATTTAAACTGATACATGATGCATAACAGTTATTTAGTATAATAACAATATATATTACAAACACCTAAGTGTTGTTCCTTTAAACTATGAGATTAAAATCGCTTCATATCTTTTTTCCTACCAACTAATTCTTCCTTCTTGTACTATGTCCTGATATGCAATATTTCTTTTATATATTACCGCCATTGAATTAACTGCTTCTATAAATTCGGTGTTGATCTTGTTGTGCTAATGAGGTAATGACAACTCGGACCGATGCACATATGTGCCTGGTCCTACGTTGTAGCTAAGTGACTGAGAAAAATTGAATTAAAATATCGAAATGAGGATAAATAGGTCATTTTAACAAATGGATATCACTGAGTGAACCCCTAGTCTCAAAAGAAAATAAGTTCAAAAACAAATCGACCTACGTTCCAGACTCTGATTACTTCTACAACGGTAACAAACGGTCAAGATGCAAGTGAACCCCAAGAAAATACCCTATTAGGAAGGAGGAGGTGTTGGGGGTGCTAGGTCCCCAGAAATCACTTGATAAACTTATCACTTTTGTAGTTTTATTAATGAAGTTCCAATTTCTCAGGTTCGCGCCGAATGAGCCCATTTTTGACCTTCAGTTTCTATTTCCCATCTGGAAGGACCTTAAATGTCATTGATTCGTTTCTTCTCTTAGTACCCTATTTTGTGATGTTTTTCAAGGACATTTTTCATTATATATGTCCGCGTGAGTTGTGTGCTTGTCGTTTGTCCTTCCAGGCTGTTTGTGGAATATATATTTTTCCCGTATGAGTCTGGTCTTTCCCCTCTAGTTAGTAGAGCTGGGGCTCAGTAGAATAGCTAAGCTTATCCTGTTGTTGTGTTGCTGGCTTTTGTTCCGTTCGCCGATCCTAGATGATATTGTAATCCTTCGAAGATAGCACTATCAAGTACTCAATTAGACGGCAACTGAAATGTGGAATTTCCAAACAGTAATCCCTAATGATGGGATCTAAAAAAACCTAGCAGTGAAGTAGAGAGAATGTAATATTTAATGAAGACAACATCAAAGTGGAGTAACTCTCTATCATAACGACGAAGACCATGAGGTGGTACATAGAAAAGTTAAGCTAAAAAGTTGTGGCAACCGATTGGAACATATCAAAGGTCTCACGAAAATGCGAATCAGAAAAATTATACCGACAGTTATCGTCACAACCAATAACTAACACTTATTCACAAAAACTAGATAACCTGATATCTACATAGCATAAACATGTTTAACAACTTATCATCTTAATATCATTCACTGTCATGTACACATTCACAACTAATTACAACTTCGTATTCCTCATAATATATGCTTATCACTGTAAACAGACTATCAGTTTCCATTCCCCTATCTATATTCTATTTTAGAAACTATTTAGTAATGAACCTATTCTATCATTAACAACAAAAAGCATTTAGTGTGTTTTACAGTAATTGGCTAGTTGCATTGACCTTGAAAGAGACTTTGTTTTGGGTCGCAAAAAGGACAAAGACGACAAACTTATTTATTTGTACTATTTTGTTTGCGAAAAGTTATCACCCAACTGTCTTTAATAATATTTATGTGAGGAAAACAATGAAAAAGTAGGCTATTAACAGTTTTCTACATTTAATTGATTGATTAAGATGATAAAATGTTTGAGACAGCAGTAAACTCAACAATTCATCCTCTATAACAGATCAGTTTATAATTCAAAAGAGATTATGGGAATGGAATGAATGCCTCGAAAACAAGTAAATAAACGAGACAGGTAAACCATAATCAAATTTACATTTACAGAAATAATCAATTATATGAACGAACCCCTCAGCATCTAATGAAGTTCAGGTAATAGGATACTATCACTTTATTTTAAACAATATGGCCCATACTGATAACCGTCAGACTGACTGTACCAACTATTATATGTTTTCCGAACCAGTAAGCTTAATATACATTGTCAAGCAAATAAAAATGTAAATCAATTATTACAAATTATACAGGTGTTTGAGTTCATCCAGTCTCACCGATGTTTATACACTAAAAAACTTTTCCATTATCACATGAACATTGAACTAGCGTCACATTTAACGTCAATAATTGAAAGCAAAAGTGGTCGACTAAGGACAGTTTTTAGTGTAATAGAGAGTAAAGTCCAGTTATAAGTCAACCTTTTTTCATTTTACTGTCTTCTCCAAAATATTTATTCAACTATATTTTTCAGTCTAACTTACCAGACGTTTACTTAAAAGTTCAGTTCTAATTATCTCTTCCTAGGATTTCGGAACTCACTGTCTATTGCTCATATGTAGGGGAACAAGTAAGTGAACAATACTGAGGTTAAATATAGGTTAATAGGTAATAACAGCAAATCGATTGATAAGGCTATGAAACTTTATGAACTGAAATAACTACGATCCGCGTTAACCATATCCAACCACCTTCTTCGAAACGTAAAGTCACCGATGTTGCACAGAATCTAGGAGTGAACAAATTAAGATCTAGTATCAACTGATGAAGTCGCTGACTGTTGATCTGATACATGTTAATAGGCAGAAACTATCTGGTTTGGGCCCACGCGATAATCGTGGGGCAGCCTAAACCAGATATTGGGTGACATCACTCAAAATAAGTCCCTCAATATTACTTCATACTTTTTAATAATCGAATTCATTTCTTCTTTTCGAACAAACATTGTCTGTATTTATTTGTTTTAATATAAAGGAGACTGCTAATATTTCTACTACTATCCAATGTATATTACTACTTTCAATGGGAAAGTCGTTAAAACTCCCTTATGAAGGTCCCAATCGAGTAATACAGAGCGCCGAAAAATATTTCATAATCGATAGGTACGGAAAGACAGAAAGTCTCTAGATTGACTGAGTTCATCTTTCCTGGACATTCAACAAGAAAACGATAATAAGAAGATAAAGAAGGGACTTTAAACCTCTGTCTCACCGAAGCTGGAAACCAACAACCACTCAACTTCAAACCCTATTAGCACAACCTATTCCGGTAAGACAATAAACAAGTCTAAACGTCATATTCATTATGCTGACTAATTTTTTTCGTCACAACTTGTCAAGTTTTTCATGTTTCTGCATTGAAACAGTCTTCGTTTGTTTATACACACAATAATCCTATAATTATCTAAATTCCGTGTAATTAGCAATCTCTCATACGTTTTCATTCAAAGTGTGGGTAGTTTTGGTTATTTTTTATGAATTAGCGTCCGACCAATTCTTTGTGTATGTTGACTACAGAGTTTAGTAATTTTGGGTGTTATTATTATCACTTTTCCTTTTTTTTATGCTCAGTAAAACAAACGTACAATTATTTTAAGCATTAACATATTACATAGGCCTAAATATATATTGTGACGGAGAGAATACTAGGAATGATGTGAATTTCGAAACTACTTTACGGACTATTATTATTTCTATTTTTATCATATAAGTATTACATAATTGTATTATTGTAATTTGATATTTTCTTTATTGTACGCTTTTAATATACCGACTAACTATTGTTGTACGTTTTACTATTCCTTAATTATGTCCAATTAATCATTCACCTTTTCACTTTCGTTCTCTGCCACTTTTGACGTAGTTATGCCTATATATTTACTGCATATTCATGTTGATAAGCGGCCAGGAAATTAGTCTGTATCATTTTATGAGTTGATTCACTTAAACTATACTACCGCACTACAGCTTGCTGTGTCCTATAATATCTGACCGAAGACTGGGTTAGAATAAGAGCATATTTTCTGAACCAATAAGAATTAGGATCATTTCATGACTTTAAATTCAAGGTTTATCTTGCCAGTTGAAGTGTAGGACGCTAGCGATAACCGAAAACACGATACGTAAAGGTAAAGAAAATGCACAGGATTTTCATTGCTGAATCTGTCCTCTAGATAATCCCGACCAATCTATAGATATAACATAAATATTTATCTTACAAAATAGCACTACATTATTTTCCGTCTAATTTGCGTATTTTCCCACTTATTTTTCCATCAATGTCTCCTCCGGACAATCTAGAAGGAGGAAGATATAACAGAAACGGGTAATTTAGACCGAATTCGTGGACCATTTTGGGATTAATCACATGTTCCGAATAATTGCATTTACTTTTTTTATTGAGATCATGAACCGATTGATGTTAGACCATCTTTGGAAACCTGAAAGCACTAGACGGCCGTTTCGTCCTATTGTGGGACTCCTCAGCAGTGCGCATTCACGCCCCTGCTCGCGGGATTCGAACCCAGGGCCTTCGGTCTCGCGCGCAAACGCTTAACCTACTGGACCACTAAGCCGACATCTAACGGTTTTATTGTCTAACCTCAACCATTCCACGAAATTGCGCGACCAACTTCCATTGTACTGAGGTAGATACCTGTCTCTACCCGGCATGGATTAGCTCCACTGGTCACGGCTTCTCACTAGAACTCCGAGAATTCCCTCACGAAGCCAGTCACTAGTGAGCACATGTTAATTACTAGTATAGGGGTTGTGGAGATTATTAAGTTTTTGATTGAGATCATGAACCGATTGATGTTAGACCACCACAATAAGACGAAACGGCCGTCCAGTGCTGCCAGGTTTCCAAAAATGGTCTAACATCAATCGGTTCATGATCTCAATCAAAAACTTAATAATCTCCACAACCCCTATACTAATAATTGCATTTAATTTTCACAGTACTAGTTATTGATCATAAAATGTTGTTTAAGTCAGTATTGAACCACTTTGTACACCTTCGGTATGGTACATTTCATTTTAATTCACCAAATACATGTGCTACCCATCTGACACCTTGTTCTCTCACTAATTGCTGCCACATGAACAGGATTTTAACGTACGTTTCATATTTCTTTATAGTTGGTGTTCCTGAACACTATCATGGTTAACTATTCCGTCCCACCCCCAAACTATATATCATTACTCATAAAACCATAAATATATGCTTTCAGAGGAACATCAGTATTATCTATATAATCGTATATTTGGTTCGCCATAAGAACTAAAGTGCTTTTTATTTTAAATCCAACATTTCAACATTTAGCAGGAATTTCTTCAGTCTCACAATATGTTTATACACGAAGGTATAAAAATTACTAGGAAGCAAGAATATTCTGTTTTGTTTATAATCGATGTTGTTTTCTCGAAATAAAAAAAACAAGAGCAAAATTCAAGACAGAATTAAACGTAAGAAAACTATATGACAAGGGGTTTGTACTACTTAGGGAACTTTTAACCACCATGTCTTGAAATGGTGGCCTTTTGTATATATACAAATACAAAACATGTCTACAAAAGTAAGTACATACAAGAACGGGATATATAAACACACACACACACACACCATAAAAACCACTTACTATTTTGCCGAATCATTTAATTGATATTCATTTGACCGTGCAAAACATTCTTGTACACCAGAATCAGCCCATAATCGTTTCATTGCATCGAGTAAATCTTCCGAAAATGGTTTTGTATCCTCCATAGCTTGGATAACATCACAAACAATACGAGCATCTTCAGCCTGATATAGTTTTATACAAAATATAGAATGTAAGTAAACAAAACACGTTTAAACAGTTAAGAGTATAAATTGATTACTACTGTTATGAAATAATAAGAGACCTTTAGTTCTTTAATGAAATCAACAATCAAAAATAAACTCAATAATTTTTATAAAGTAGTGTTAAGTGTGAAATTTTAGAACTTCCTAATTTACTCAAAGAGATTATCGACGAAAACGTATTTCATTGAACTAATGTAATCAGAAATTTCCGACTAATTAAAAAAAATGTAATTAGTTCTGTTAATTGTTACTCTAAATGAGAACCAAAGTGTTAATAGGGAAAACTGATCAAAAGTTTAAAGGAAAAATTAAGTAAACATTTATAGATCTAACTAGGTGGCAGAAAATTATTGTAATAAAATGTATAATAAGCAATGATACATTCACTTATTCATGATTATGGTATTTTAAAGGTGATATCGAAAATATAAAAAAAACATGAAATTAGGGATCCTCAGTTTTCAAACAAATATTTAAACACTCCATAGACATTTTAAGCAGAGTTGAATAGTGGCTAGCAATGGAATTCAAGATGTGCATTTCGTCCTATTTGAAATTCATCAGCTGAATGTACCTGCATTTCAGAGTTGATGTTCACTCTGGGACTCGAAATCAGTACTGTTCGCTTCAAACGCCATCGCGTTCTCCATTTAGCTACTGAGTCCTGATAGCCACCTGCTTTTGCAATGGGATGAAGTTTAAATTAACTCAGTGTTGTTTTATTTGTATCTTCCCATTGTTATTTAGGACTGCAATTGAACATCAACGCTGGGATGCAGGTAAATCTAGCTGACGAGTCCCAAATAGGATGAAACGCGTATCTTGGGTTCCACTGCTAGCCGCTATTCATCTTTGCTTAAAAAGCGTGTGACTTAAGGCTATATCGAGACGATCCGCACAGGATGCACATATGCCAACATGAAACTGATCAACTGCAGTCCTAAATAACAATGAGAAGATACAAGTAAAACAACACCACGTGAATTTACTCCACAGATATAAGACAAAAACTAGAACTTTAAAACGATCAAAAGTTTGTTCAAGTGATTCATTTAGAATCAGAGTTAAACGAGAAATTCATAAGCACATAAATTAAAAGCTGAAATTCTCTATAAGCCCTACAATTTCCGCTAAAAATAATACTCAACTGTAAGATATAGTGGATTGTCAATGAGGAAAATGATGATTGACTAATGATTTGTTCTGCTCAAACAATAACAAAAAAATATACGACAGACTTAAGTAATGAATAATAGAAGATTGACTTATTCTTTAATGCATCACATCAGAATAAATGCTTGGAAAAGTTAAATGCATTAACATAGAAACAAATCAAAAGAAACTTCTGAAAAGAATCGTAAAGAGAAAAAATATACATGAGCAGAGAGAAAATAAACACAAGTAGAGATTTTGAAGTGTAATAGTTGAATCAGTTTAACAGAATCAAACTAGAGTATCTGATACTTTTCTACTTTATACGATACGATTGGAAACTGTTCTGGAAATAGTAACAATACAATTTGACTTAAATGTGGACAAGAGATAATTCGATGCCATATTCCATGATATTTGGCGACAAAATCTAGAATCCATATACATTGCATGTGTTCATCAAAAACATATTGCTGCAAATTCAAGACGTGTACTCTCTACCTGAAAACTCTAAGATTCTTTCCAGATTCCCAGTTCGCTCTTAACCAACAAATCAGCCCAACCCAATTAAATATCTATCTCTTTATTAAAAGACTATGGGTGTCCAATGTTTATTATTATTATTATTATTATTATTATTATTATTATTATTATGTAGATAGTTCGACAGAATTAAATTTTTATTACCCTGTGTTTAAACGACATGATTTCGTTTGAATACTGCATTAAAGAATAGAAAAACAAAATAATCCCATACGGAAAGCATATTTAAAAGTGGTCTGACATTTAATCTTGTATATTTTAACCAATCTATGTGTGGACGAATTTATAGGGGACGAGTGAATGCCTAATTCCTTCATGAAGAAAAGAAAATCTACAGGGTCAAGGTTATTTAAGTAATCAAAATCGAATAGATCTATCTGAAAGTAAGAAAGGTATTTCAGCTTCTCAGCTGCATCTGATCACTCACCTTCATATACAAACAGAAATATATATATATATATATATATATATATATATATATATATATATATATAACAATAAAAATCTGAAAATATTAAATCAGGTGAAATAAGTTGAGGGAGACGGATTTTGTTAGTGTTGTGTTACAAAACTTTACAAAAGGAAATCAATCAGACTATCAGATGCACTCAACATCCCAGAAATTGTACGTCTTCTTCAATCTTAACGGCAACATTTCGCATATCTTGAAGGTCATGTTAGCTTATAAAATTTCGATATGAATGCAAAGAGCTAATTCAGCTCTTGACAGTCAGTGCCAATTGTATCTCAGTCAAGATTTTAATCTGTTTACCAAAAGATTAATGTACTTTTCAACCGTAAAACACGGTCTATGTATGTAGAGGACATGGATGGATTGTCACTATTGAGTTACAAACACTTTTCAAAACATTCTTCTCGTATCACGAATCTATCAAGTGAATTAATACAAAAGTTAAATGTAGAAGTTTAAGCAGAAATGGTTGATATGTATGTTAACCTTCATTACTTGTATACGATATGTGTAACTATGTTGTGACAAATCATCGACCCATAAAATCACTCTCGATGCAGTATGAGAAGGTACAGGTTTCTAGGTTGAAGTCAGTGAGAAGATAATCGTGATATATTATGCTCAATGAATTTAAGTAATACGACTTGAATTATTCAACTACAGAGAAAATATGTACTTATTCTTCGTCTTATGCTAAATCTTACATTTCCTTCACTTATTCTATTCGTTAACGTAATATTAGCGTATTCTGTATATGGTTTTCCATGACTATTTGTAGCGTTATGATTATGATTATGATTAGACCAATGGTTTTTCATTTTAAAGATTCCCTTCCCTAATTTGAATAAACACTAGAGTAGGTACTATTCTACATTTTATCGAATAGTCTACTTTAAGTTCGTTGAATGTTTCAGAAAAGTTAAGAAAATTAATGATAGTTTATGTCATCCATTGATATTGATTAGTGAAGAAACGTTACAGTATGTATATATCTATAAATAAATAAGAAGAAACTGTTTTAACTTTCCAAAAAAAGAACTTCATATTCGGTACATTACATTTCAGGAAAGCAGGGATTATCTTAATTTTATAATTTCGTACAGTAACTAATTTATGATTGAGGTAAAATGTTGTAGGTCAAGGTTATGAACTCAAAGACATAGTAATCAATAATGGACCGATTTCCCTAGTTAGGGATATGTATATGCATGCATATATGCATACATACATATATATGCATATATTGCGTATAACAGATAATCCTACATATATTCCATGTGTATATTCAACGATTCTAAGAATGTATACATACATACACGTCTGAGAAATAAATACTGAGCTTTACAAAATATTGATAGGAAAAAATCATATCACCCCTATTTCAGTTGACTTTAATTTTTCACCTAATTTTTATACTAATGAAATAGACCAGTGCTGTCTTTTAATATGTCCAGTAGTTTAGTAAGCTGGTCTGAGTTGAACTAAAGACCAACTCTGATGCCAATTGAAAGAGTGGAACAGAATAAAAATATTATTCCTTCTCCACAATCCTTCTCTCTTATATTCGCAATGCATCTCATCCTGATATAATAAGAAAGCATTACCAACCCCTTTATATTATGTATTCACAATCATTTTTGTCCTGACATCATTCATTCATAGAAAAATGAGATGATTTTTCATTGAAACGATCGATAGATTAGCCATTAATAGCCTTGAGAGTTTGATAACCGTTCAGTTGTAAATTTAAACAAAAACTGATTAGTGTAACGAAGAGATAAATATAACGTGAAGAGTTGTAAACGTCGAATATTTTAACTAGATGACTTCCTGGAAGTCTACTAAAAAAAATAGACGAACTGTGATTAATCTTATTGACAGTTTACAAAAACACCACGACGTACTTTATAGTAATGTGGGATAAAAAGAAACTGAACTACAATTTCTAGTTAAGTATGAGTAATAACATTAAGACTGTAAGATTATAATACGATTTGTCAGATTATAAAGCCGAAATGATAGTGTCTAGTTCTTAGCGCTAATTAATGAGTTCTGTTATTTATTGATCTGTTTCATGGTTATTATTTCGTTCACACATTATTCAGTGACAATTTAAACTAAATATAAAGACAAATGTATGGACACCACAGCACCATTACTTTCTTAATGAACAGATCAACTTTATTTATTACATGTTAGCAAATGAAGCTTACACAAAGATTCTTTCGACAAATCCCAACTGCTCAATGATGGGAAGTGATGTAATGTAAGTAATACAAATTAAAAATTTCTACAAATCCCTCATATTAATAACAATAATGTGCTCACTAGTTTCTAATTTCGAGAGGTAATTTCATGAGTTCTAGTGAGAATCAGTGACCAGTGGCCATCAACCGTATTGAATTTGGGGCAATTACTCACTAATGTCATTGGAAGGTGCTTGTGTAATATCCCGAACTGATTAAAAACAATGCAAATTACAGGATGCCTATCCAGTGGCATTAAGCGTTAAGCACTTGCCGCTAGACCTGAGGGTCTGGGTTCGATCACCGATAAATCGTGGATACGCACTACGGAGGAGTTCCACACTAGTTATCCAGTGGTCCCCGACTTTTAATAGTTATTTAACTAAGGTCGGTACGTTGTATAAAATATATGATGGCTCTTGACTCAAAATTATAGTGAAATTTATTCCTGGTGTTAAAATTAGTAACTAGAAACTTATGATAATTATAACCCTTTCGGTTATTCTTATTGTTTAGGTTTACTAAACTCCTAATGTTCTAACTCCGATAGAAAAAATTTACATCCAACTGTTACACAGATACTCCAACATATCGTAAGGAAGAACCTTAGACTATTCAAGAATTCATCCCATCCGTCCAACAATGTGAATAGGTGTACCTATTATGTTAACGAATATGCAAATATCGTTGTTATTAAATCATAAATGCTTCTTTTCAACTTAATCCAGAGGGGTAATTATCCGGATCGTTTTCAAAAGTCAAATGACACTTTTAAACCAATAGAATGATCATTATACAGAACATTTTCTTAACAAACTGTGTTGGACGAAAATTAGTGAGTTCAAAAAAGAGAATAAAATAAAAGTGACACAATATTCCTTGTTCCCATGTTAAATAATATAACATGCACTAATTCATCAAAAGAAAACATCTTAGTTATTCAATGACGTTAAAAGTGCACAGAATGGAATTATTGATTTTCAAAGAAAGGCAACAAAAAAAACAGCAGAAAACCTTTTGGTGCATATTTATTAGTGAATTGACAAAAAGTCACAGTGATTTTTTAACCTGCTTGATATCACGAGTCTAAATTAATAATTTCTTTATAATAACTGTCCCACATCATATTGCAATTTCTTGATTATGTTGATCTGTGGTCAATATTTTACTCTATTTTATTGTATGAGTTTTCAGTCATGACTGAATTCAGAATATAATAGAATCTGGCTGCTGACTTTTCTTTTCTATCAAGGTAAGAGATAGAGGAAAACTTAAGGACAACAGACCAATGAGAGCCTAAATTGCGCCTTCCCAAGGTTAGCGGTGAAGGTCAGGTGAGTAACTGGTCACGCCTAGGACACTAGGCTACAGAAAAAATAATAAACGCAGAATAGAAATTAGTTAGAGCTCTAATAGGTGACTTTAACACAAGATACCGATCAATTTCAAGCCGTAACAGTTCATGAAGTAATTAACTATTAAAATAAACCATGCTGATAGGTGCGGACTACATGGATAGAGTCCAGTCGATAATCGTGATTAGTGATTGAAAAAATTGAGCAATATGGATCACAATCCGTGATAATGGTGCGAATCCAATCATTCTTCATCTTCTACCAACTCTTGAGTTTTAAGATTATCTCGCACTTTTAGTCCACGAAATCACCTTTTTTGATTCTATTCTTCAATGTCTAGTATTTCTCACTATCATTGATACAACTATCATTCCAACTCTTTTACTTCCCATCTCGTTATCTTGATATGGTATCCCAACTTCAGCTGACAAATTTTATCGAGGCTCTCTATATTAATTTTGATTTGCTGACTGACCAGTTATTCAATTGCAGCGATATTATCTCTCTACTTTCGAAGATGGAGATAGAGTTAATGCTAAGAAGTTGATCAGAAGATTAAAGAAGCGAGAATGAATGTTTTTAACTATTTCCCTTGATATTATAAAGTATCTTATGCTATAGTGTGCACAAAAATCATCAGAGTACACAAGTCTATCAGTGTTAAATGCTTGAAGACTATTGTAGAGATTGAACGTCAACAAGTTCCTTGAAACTACATCTTTCTCAGTCAGTCAGTCAGTAACGACGTAGAACTTCGTACGCACGTACATCAGTTCGAGTTGCCATACCACATTAGCACAGAGATGCAGTGGTCGATTCAAATACCGTAGTGGTAGAGGTAGTAAAAGTATAAGCAGTAATCAGAAACACTAGGGTTTGAAGATATTATTCAAGGAGTATAATACAGTGAAATAAATTTGGGAAGAGAAAAAGAAAGAGACAAGGAGGAATAAGGAGATCAAAATTTGGGAGAAGACAAAGAGTGGATGTACCTGCGCCATTGCAAACGATTTTGAGCCATATCATTCAGGCTCTCTAACCATCGGTTGCTATCATCTCGCGGTCCCCAACCAGGTAGTCTACACCTACCAACATGACTCAGTCTACTTGTCAGTGACATCATGGGCTTGTGCCATGTTTTGGTCAGGCCGCCTCTAGCTTTCTTCAAACCTATTCCTATACCACTGAACATCGCACGTCGAGGCAGTCGGTCGTTGGGCATACGTAACACGTGTCCCAGCCATCTCAACTGATGAAGTTTCACTACTTCATCAATTGATTTGCCATCCTTACCTAACATCCGTTTCCTAACAACTATATTACTTACTCGATAGTCCCAGGATATACGAGCAATATTTCGAAGATACCTATGATCAAATACTAGTAACCTACGAATATCCTCTACTCCTTCCGGTCATGTTTCACTGCCATAAAGTAGGACGGAACGAACTGCTGCATAGTAAACCCGTCCTTTGGTTGATAGACGGATATCTCTTCATTTCGCTAACCAGGATTAAGGGTTCTAGATTTAGTTGTACCGTAGAAATTCATTGTAGACGTCAAGTAAACTAACGGATGGTATCTAACCATTTATTCAGATGGTTTCAAACTTTCCGTAATCTTTCACAACATTTCCTAGCCTTACTGATCTTTAATTTAGATGATAACGTCCTAAGGACACCTGTAATTTTAGTGAGCTGTAGTAGTAGTCTACTTCTCTTGAGAAAGACTGACTGTAAATCTATGGACGATAAGTTAAACTGTTTGAAAACATGAAGTATCATAACAACACTTAACCAACTATTACTAACCATAAGTATCAAATGAAATTTAATTAAATTCATTATGAAATAGTTTCTTTTCAAAAAGAAGATACTCAGTGTCGGTGGTGACGTCCATAGTTGAGTCAATTGGAAATAGTTGGGAAATTCATACCAACGAATAATTTCTACAATTGCTGATGAATTATGGTAAACATTATACCTTGTCCAACCAAAACCTAAGAGATATTGTTCAATTCGACTTGCCCCATCAAAACACTACAGTTTCCCTTTACCTATATACAGATCAGAATTAACAACTTTTAATCGACACTGAAGAGAACTAGCCCATCTGACCTACCGATATCAAAAGATTCACAGTTTTAGATCATTTCTGAACCAGAAATATCCGTCATATTCAATGAAAATGTAATTAGAACAATAAGGTTTGGAGAAAGTTCTTGCATAATGGAAACTACTACTTAGTAAGAGAATAAATCGATTTTTATAGATGCTGTCCCAATAGTCAATATAATCAACCCTATTTTCTGATGCTAGAATTTGATACCTGAATTGAAGTAATGATTTATTTGTAGCATCAAGTTAATGAAAATAGATTTTCCTTTACGTAATAATGCAATGTCCAAATATTCGACTTAACATTCGGGTCTTAATTGATTGAAGGATGAGTGACCTACAAGCTAATTTCCTCCAACTGCCTTTTGACTTTTATCATGTCCATTTTGTGTTCCGATTCTGTATATAAGCATGTTACTGTATCACTAAATTTACCAATTCTTCTGACTTAGTGGTCTTGTCCTTGATTTATAATCATTAGAGAGCTTAAGTCAATAATACAGTCTCGTGAGAAGCCATCGTCTGGATACATCATAACAGTGTGTTCGTCTATCGATAAAGTCTACCCACTGATTCTGACACTTAGTGCTGGTTAGTGTATCATGAACTTTGAGGGTAAAGTTAGCAAGATTATGTAACCTAAAGGTTTAATTGTTACATCTAAATCCGGTGAAAAATATAAATAAAATTTTCACTGTACCCTTCGTAACGAATTTCATGATTACAGAAAATTGGTTTTTGAAATATCGAAGAAATTCAAAACTTACTCCTTGTTCACTATCACCGAATTGAATTCCAAGAGTGTTCATTGCTCTGAGAATTGCAACCATCGATTGAATGGTATTACTATAAACCACCGGTTTATACTGTTTATTATCTTCTTGTGTAAATCCACCTTCATGAATAATTCTAAGGGGAAAAACAGTAATTGAGATGAGTTGAGAAATTACCGAATAAGTTTATTTTTTTGACAAATAATCCAAACAGCGACAGATAAGACAGTCAGCCATAATCAACGTCTGGTATTAATACGTGTTGGCCCAAGTTATCATACTAACCATAATCAACGGTAAATAAACTAACGGCCAAAGCTTAGTAATCACATTTGTGTTTGTGTACAGTGTTATGATCCACACCGAATACATAGAATAAAGTGACACAACTCAGCTTACTAGATTTTGCCAAGAGAGGTTATCAGAGTTGTGATCCATCTAGCGTGTCAACCAAAGACTACGTACCAAATTAGCAGAACGAGATGAATAGTATAACAGTGGGAATGACAGTAATATCAATGATTATCGACAGGACCCTATCCAACCTACCAACACGGCTCAGTCCATACATATTTACGGTAGTTCAATAATTGTATAGTCGTTTGGTACATTGGTAACGTTACCCCAAAGAAGGATAGATGAAATATGTATGCATTAGATAAATATCAATGTTAATACATGAATGTTTAAGACTAGTGTTTTGCCTACACCAAGTCACGGTTGGCTATTTATCGTGAAAAAGATAAAGATAAGTCTCTCATTAGCATTTCACAAAATGCATCTGGAAACTAGTCACTAGTTGCTTTATTTCAATCCATGATGGACAAAAATTATTCCTAGTACTAAAAATTAGCAAGTTTTAGGAATATGTGAAGCCAATCAACCTAGCAAATTTAAAATGGAGTGAGATTTCGAGCCACCTTGATTTTTCAATGGTTCTTCTAACTGTGATACCACAGTTTGCGTTAAAAGAATCATCTACACAATTAATTGTTAAAAAAAAATTGTTCTAATAAAGCATATGATGTAATAAGCTGAAATCCCCTTGTAACATTGATTGAAAATAATATTTTAGTCATACAAAAAACGCCAACTGATCTACAATTTCCACTAAAAACCTTCACTGACCATAGTCATGTTCTTATTAGTGACTAGTTTCGAGATACCATTCCCAGAGTTCTAATAAGAAGGCGTGACCAATGGAGTTCAACCATATCGGGTGTGAAACAGATGGCAATGGAAAATGGTAAGACATTAACACTGTTACATTCCGGTTCACTGGTCTAGAGGTTAAGCATTTGTGTATGGGTCCGAAGGTCCTTGGATCAATTTCCTATGCTGAGGGACGCGCATCCACACTATTGAGGAGTTCTATGCTAGGATGAAAAAAAAACTGTTCAGTGCTTCCTAATTGTTATTAATGCTCCAGTTAAGATCATTTCGTCATTTAAACTATAAAATAACCTATCATGATTAAATTAAGTGTTCTCTCGTAAATAAAAATGAACTACAGTTCACCAATTAATCAGTTAATTGATTTCTAATCAACGAATTTATGGACAATTACATTTGATAAATCCTTATGTAATAAATTTATTTAGTTTCTAACTATACAGGAAGTCAAATATTATATTTCTGTAATAAATATAGTTCAACAGAAAAGATTTACAAAAACATTAGAAATAATACCAATCATAATAAAAATAATAATTCTCATCAGTGGTAAATTACAGTACACTTGATTTTCCACTCTGTTAAGTGATTTTTTTCAACAGTCAGTACGATAACATAATAAACAGATTTAGATTTAATAGTTGAATTCATGAATCAGTTAAAGCTGGAGCATCATGGAAAATCTGGAAGCACTGGACAGCCATTTCGTTCTAGTATGGGACTCCTCAACAGTGCACATCCACCATCCTGTCCTTGGGATTCGAAGCCAGAACCTATAGGTCCCGCACAAGAACGCTTAGCCTTTAAACCACTGCTCACTAGTGACTGGCTTAAAGAGGTATTTCCGGGAGTTCTAGTGAGAGGCCGTGACCAGTGGAGTTCAACCAGGTCTGTTGTGAGACAGTAACTCACTGGAGACAATGGTGGATGGTGGTGCAATTTCGTGGATTAGTTGAGGTTATATTTTAAAACCGTTGGATGCCGGCTCAGTGGTCTACAGGCTAAGCGTTCGCGCGCGAGATCAATAGGTCCTAGGTCCGAATCCCGAGGGTGGGATCGTGGACGAGCACTGTTGAGGAGTCCCATGCTAGGAAGAAATGGCCGTCCAGTGCTTCTAGGTTTTCCATGGTGGTCAAGCTTTAATTAACTCATAAATTCAACTATTAAATTACTAAAATCTCCACAAAAACACCCCTTCTGAAAATTTAGATTTACTTAACTCCGACAAACTATTATACTATAGATAATTAGGAAATATAACTTGTATTGATAAGGTTAGAACTCAACTATGAAATAACTGATCAAAATATTTTACCGACTAAAACCACGTTTATTTGTTAATTTTCAATATTTGAAGAGCATTTAAATAGGAAAGATAATATGCTCAAATGAGAAGTTTTCAACATCACGGTACACATTCACAATATGAAATCCGATATATGGTAATAGGCGATCGTTTCCAACGATATCATTTGAACAGGACATCACATTTTGAAATTACTCCAAGTGACCAGATAAGCAAAAACAGTTATTACTCAAAACTAAAGTGAACCGTGTGGCATTTACTGACATCGAATGTTTAGCTCTTCAGGGACCAAAGTTCAATGAAACATCAAATACAACAGCAAAAAAGTTTCCAATGACGTGGTTGCAAAAATATATTCGGTTATATGAAAAGTTGGTTTTCATATATTGGTGGATACGATAAGTAAACTCATTCAATTGAAATCAAAATATGACCTGGTATATAAATGTGTCGATCCAAGTTGCCACACAATATGACCACAGTGAGATGAAACTATCAATACGACATTCCAGGGTAGTAAAATTAGTAACAACATCGGAGTTAATAGAAATTAGGCATAAATAATATGATTCAAGAAGGAAGAATGACTTGTGGAATAGATAAAATATGCAAGATAATTTTAACACTCAAGATCTAAGGCAAAAGAAAGAATGGATGTATTTGCGACATTGAGTACGACTCTGAGCCATGATATTCAATCCCGACCATGACTGCTATCTTGACGTAGTGGTCAGGCTTGCCCATCGTGACGACTCAGTCGTGCTATATTGGCTGGAACATATGTTTCTTTAGGTCCTCCATGTCACGCAGGTCTGTTGGAGAACAGTAAGACTAAAAGCAACAACTTAAGGTCCGAGGGTGAAGTCGTATTGCTGACTGTAGAGGGGTGTGACAGCAGTAAAGTGTTTCCTTCGGACAACCAGCATCTGCAGAGATGCTGCCTCTTCATAACGGAAGTAAGGGGTTAGAGAAGGTCGACCCTTAAGTGCCACACCACCCCTTACCCCACGGATTTTCATCTCAGGTGGTAAGACCTTTTAAAACGCAGAGCTAACATATCAAGAACTTCGTATAAAATGGCAGTGCGCGACCTGCCTAAAAAAGTTATTCCTCGAGCACTGCAATCGCGCTCCCAGGTCGCTAAGACCACTATTAGTTCAGTTTCTTTTTCAAGTTCATCAAGAAGAAATATCCTTCCACAGCGTAGGCAACTGGGAAGTGACAACTGCCCCTATACCTCTATCAGCACCCAAGATCATCTTGTTGATGATCAGATCCCTCCTTCACTTAATAGTTATCTGACCCCTATGAATAAACGTCTTTATCACCACACGCCAGTAATTCTAATAAGCTGAGTTCACAAAATATTATTCATGGTCTCCTAAAATCACGCTCTAAACTATATGTTGGAGATTATAATGTTTGAACCTTATGTCAGATAGGACAACAGGCTTCTTTAGCTGAAATTCTATGATCTTGCGCCACCGATGTATGTTACGTCTCCGAAAAGCGCATACAGGATCCAAGTATGATCATTCACTTGATCTCACCGTGCCAATATAAAGCACCATTCAAGTATCTGGAGACCTCACTGCTAATTCCCGTGACCTCACAAGTGCAGCTATAGCATTAAGTTCTAAAGCAAAATAGGCTTTACTAGACTTGATTCCAATAGACAGCCGCTTGTGCATTGTTCGACTAAACGAGACAGTAAGAACACCAAAAGATAAGGACACACATCGTTGCCTTTTTATTGTCTCCGTCTACACTCCCGCTGATTTCAACTCAGACGAAGTAAAAGATGAATTTTACAGGAAGCTATCCAACCTACTTCAAAAAACTAAACGATCGGCTGAAGAAATGGTTACAGGTGATTTTTATGTTCAAGTAGGTAAGTTAAGCTAAACCGAAAGGCTCAAAATTTGGGGGAAGACAAAGAATGAATGCATCTGGACCATCTCATTAAAAGTCTGTAACTATTGGTTACGATAATCATGCGGACTTTAACCAGATAGTCTACACATGTTAACATGGCTCAGTCCACCTGTCACTGATTTCATCAACTGATATCATGTTTTGGTATGATCACCCCCATTTTTCTTCCAACCTGATTCTGCACCATAAAACATCGCGTGTTGAGGTAGGTGGTCGTCGGGCATACTTAATGCATATTCCAACCTCCTCAATTGATGAACATTAACTACTACTTCATCAATCGATTTCCCATCTTTGCATAATACTCTGTCCCTAACTTCCTCATTCCACACTTAGTTGTCTCAGAATATACGAGGAATGCTTCGTAGACACCTATGATCGAATACCAGAAACCTACCAATATCCTCTACTCTTGATGGCCATGTTTCACAACTTTAAAGTAGAATGGAGAGAACAGCTGCGCAGTAAACTCGCCCTTTGATTGAAGGACGGATATCTCGACTACAACACAAGTGATACAGGTTAGCAAAGGCCAATCAAGCATTTCGAATCCATGCAGAGATTTTAGCAGACACCAGATAGTCAGTACTGATTAGGCTACTAACATAAGTGAAGCGATTGATGCGTTCAACTACTTCAGTCCCTACCACTAATTCAGGAGATAACGCAAACCAATCCTGAAGTAATATTTTACATTTGGAGGGAGAAGACCTCTTCCCAAACATGCTTGCAGTTTTGCTTAGGGTACCAGAAGACTGCATTTTGTCGGCATCTTCGGCAGACAGAACTGTCATCCGAGCATCCTAAGTCAATAAGTGAATCTCTTTGAAAGAGACCAATTCCTAAAAAATCAGACTATCAGAGAGTTATGTCCAAAACGATGTTTAGGACGAAGTTAAATAAAAATACAAAGTGGGCAGCCGTGACAAACACAACTTTATGTTATCTATTCCGAAGACAGTCGTTCATTATAGGCCCTAATTCGACCAATAACGTCCGAGTAGATGACCTGTACAAGGTTGATATAGTGAATTATAAACTATTTAAGAAGGTAATAAGTAACCACGTTAACAAAGTTGCACGGTAGAACAATTTACAGACAAGGATTACTACAATAGTTCAACACTGAAACATTCCTTTATTCTTGATAACACCTAATCGTTCAAATCAATACTCTGTCTTGCTTTTTTACAAATTATTATACAAATAATCAATAGTGTTTCCTCATATTTATTGAGTCTAATTATTATTCGACGCCAACTACTTTTCATCTGAATTTTCATGATTATCACCCTTCTGTTGACAGGACACAGATTATATTAAGGAATATTCAATATAAGACTGTGATAGAGCACGTTGACTGGTCCATTCTTAGTCAGTCAGTTCAGGAGGATAATTGGAGAAGAACCTATAATCTACCTGTGTAAAATTAGAAATATACTAACGTTTTTCTTATTGTAATTCAATCCCATCCAATTAGATTGATTTAGGATATAATTACGAACTTGTCAAAGCTGTGTTCTGATCTGGGTCCGAAGAATACTGAGCAATAAGGATATCAGGGCTGGATAACGAAAGACATAACACAGTCCTAAACCAATGGTAATTCATAATAATTAGTAATAATAATAAGAATGTCACAATGATGACTATTACTGTTTGCTGTTAAAAAAATAAAAACAATTTAAACACGAACCAGGACTGTATAGTGAAAAATACTAATCAACAATGACTGTTTCTCATATCAACAATAGGATGTCCAAATGTCATATGAATAATCGTCATCAAATGACTAATCTCCACTAAAAAAGCACCATACACGGCAAACTTATATTCAATCCATGAAGGATGTTCCAGTATAACTAGTTTTTTATAGTATCCATAGTCTAAACAGTAAACAAATACATGAATTTCTTAAAGACATCTTTATTTCCCATTTTAGACCAGTTCTTCAACTGCGACATACACACATAGACAATCGGTAATATTGATAATTTCTACCCAATCTGGAATCCTTATTCCGAATAACATAGAAATATACAGAGACATTTAGGTTAAGTCATTTCCACTATAGACTGACACTCATTATTACAAGTTCAGTATATAATCTGCAAAAAAAACTAGATTAAAGATCATTGTTACTAGAGATTACTGAGGAAAACTATGCAATAAAACTTAAATAGACTTAATGATGGTCCCGATGTTTGAAGATATTTTACCATGATCATAATGATTCACAAAGAAAACATATTTTATTGTATATCTTGCTAAAGCCCATGATTGTTTAATGTAGACGTATAGTCTAGTTATACATTAGCTATCTACTTATAGAATCATGTTTATTTGTTGATCAACATCTTAATACATTTTATTACAAAGATTGAAAAGTGAAACTGTTGAAATGACTTAGCTTACTTCATTTGTTTGACGATTGTGCTCTTTCCTGATTCACCGGCACCTAAAATGTATATGTTTGGGAGAAAAAAAGAAGTGAGGAATCATATTTCAATGTAGAAAGTTTGAAAGATAGAAACATAAAAATGTGATTAGTAAATTGGTGGATGTTTATTTAGAAAATGAAGTACTTGACAGTATTACACTAAGCCTTTCTAGATGAGAAGTGGTGGTTTAGTAGGTGAAGCATTCAATTTTAATCATTAAGACATATGTTTAAATTCGATTCGACTTACTTCGGTTTGAGTACCAAGGCAACAACATATTAGCTTTGATCACAGGATGTTTAGTTAAAAGCTGAGTTGTACTTATTTAAGTATACAAAATCTTGTACAACAAGGCACCAAAACATAGAGTGCACCACACAATTTCACTGAACGTAATTATCAGCGTATTTTCGTGGGGGCTAGGATACTTCCCGGGCTCATGAGCCGAAGCCCGTGCTTTTTAAGGAACCATTCCTGCAGCCTTCAACCAAAGAGTCTGATCTACAAGGCAATAGTACAGTATGCAGTCGCATAGTACCCAGTGACCGAAATAGGCTCACACACCATTCGTCCCTTTATGTACAGGATGTCACAGGCACAACTGGTTTGGAGTTTTTCAACTTCCCTTGGTAGATACTCCGTTACCACTAACCCGACTAAAGCACCCAGTACATGAGGCTGTAATTAGTAAATGATTTAAAAGGTAAAAATAACGAATTGTATTATAATTTGAATGTCATTAATTAACCAAGCAAGGGTTTAGTTAATCTATTTGGACTCTTTTAATGTGTAATAGCTAATGGCAATACTAGTCTGTCCAAAATAAAGTAGACAGAACTAAGTTTAAACTTAGAATCTGATTGGTTGTAAGTCAGATGTGTTAACCAATTGAGGCAACGCTCCACAAAAGACTTTATAAGATGAACAATTAACTAAAAAGTTGTAAGTATGGACCTCTTCCCTACTTAGATATAAGCTATGAGAAAATACCCAATAATCTCTTCTACTACATCACGTTTGGTCATCTATAATAAAGAATTGGCTACCACTGTCATCGTACAAGTGACCACCACCATATTAGTGTGTAGATACTAATCAGAATCGAATCAACTGTACTTGATCTGAATAAATGTGCATGCTAATTGGATATCATGCGGACCACAGAAGGCATATACTTATTCGTATTGAAACTGATAAACATGATTAACGTAGATAATCGAATGTGCCAACCAGTTCCCTCAACATCTAGCCTTGTTCAATGTGAAGTAAGACGAAAAAATAACAAGACGTGAGATAAATAGAGGAGTGTTATGATTTATTTTATATCCAGTAGCCGGCTAATGGTCGATAGAGTACACAAAATGTTCACTCGTTTTCAAACTAACAACGAGAACTCCAAAGAGACCAGTTAAGCACCTAGCATTATTTATGTATTATTAAAATTTAAAAACTCGCATGATTATCGAAACAAAATGAAAGACTATCCCACAGCATAAATAAGAGATACCAATAAAGTGTACATTCCTGGTGGAAATCTGAAGTAACCGGTACAAGAATAATTTAGTGTAACCTATGAATGGGTGAACGTCATAAGTAGAGAAATAGTTAATGAGTTAAATAGTAGTTTATAACTAAGACAACAGTAAAATATTATAAAACTTTCCATACAAATACATTAAAAACATATATAATGAATCATCCTCGGATAATAACTACCTACCACTGTTTCCCACATTCAATCATTACCACAATTCTAACAATGAAGACGTCTGTCAACAATATTTAGTGGTATATCACCCTATCTAAACACTTTAACTAGTATGGATCCAAGAGGAGGTTAAAAATACACATATACGCCTCCTAATATGTGAAGATAATGTTTAAGATGATCACACAAACACACTCTGTTATGAATGTTATGAAGTTCTCTTGAAGTTCAATGCATACAAATATTATTCTTAATAGTAGAAGGGTTGGAATTAACCCGTTATTCATATTTAAGACCGGATATTTGTGTACAAGTACTAGATATAATTGTGTAATATATCTTTTTCGATACTTAGTGTTACCATGACTATTTCTGTCTGAAAGCAAAGTAGACAAGGTACGAAGTTTCATATTTGCATTTTTACCCAACCAATATGACCAATTTTACAATCCTAGAATGAAAGCACACCAAAAAGAGATTAATTAAACAATCAACAATTCAAATACTATCTAGCAAGATATTTCCCTTCGTATTTAACGAAAGAATTGAGAATGTCTATTTCAATGTACATAAGTAAACGATTTGTGTTTCACCTTGTGAATGAATACAGTTACGTTAGTTTGCCCAAGACGAAAACTACCGGATTCTCGATTTCATAGCGACAAAGGAATATACTTTTAAGAAATGATAAGCTTCAAGTAAAAACATTACATAGTGCTCCCTATTTATAGAATAATATCCCAGCTATAAGTCTTCGCTTAAAAAGGAGCTTCACAATTTTCCTCATACGATCTGAATACACGGTACAATAGCAGATAAATAATTATTTGTAAATTGTTAATTACTCGAGCCAAAGTAAATCAGACTGCGAATGTACAATTAACTTGTAGCTTCCTTAAAATTTTGAAACTGATTAATATTCAGTAACTGATAAAATATGATCAAAAGACTGCTTGCACTAATCGACAAAGGTTGTTGTTTTTTTTATTAATAAGGTATAACCAGAGGAAATTAGGAAAAGACGTTGGGAATGGATAGGACATACATTACGAAAATCATCTAACTGAATCACGAGGCAAGCGCTAACTTGGAATCCTGAAGGGAAGCGGAAAAGAGGAAGGTCAAAGAACACATTACGTCGGGATATAGAAGCAGATATGAAAAGGATGAATAACAAATGGAAAGGATTGTCCAGGACAGGGTTGGATGGAGAGTGCTGGTGGGCGACCTATGCTCCTCCATGAGGAGTAACAGGCGTAAGTAAATTTAATCAGTTATAAAAGGTTATTAAAATTTAACTCCTCAAGTTCATAGTTTCCTAGGATTTTAATGAAAATACTTTTATTAATATTGAGTTGAATAAATAGTAATGAAGTGTTCCACAGAATAGGAAAACTCAAGAGATTTAAAATGTCTTGAAGATAATATCAACGAAAATGTATATTAGTAATTATCTAACAAATTTTTAATAGAACAATCCTATCAGTCAATAATTTGCACTCATTTACGAGAACATTACTACTCAAATAAACGGTATATTGATTAAAGATGAAATTATGTTAAGAAAATTATACATTTTACAATTGTACTCTACTAATATGTATGGCACTGATAAATTAAGATATTTTAAAAGAAAAGATTGAACATAATCACTCTAATATAAACATAAGATGTTATCAGAGTCAGTTAGCTACAACGTAGGACCAGGCACATATATGTATCGTTCCAAGTTCCCATGTTATCAGAATTATAAATAAATTCAGAAATTAATAAACATGCCTTATAGATCCTATAAACAATATGCTACTACTTCGATCATAAGTTTAGATTCCATGTTAGGTCCCGATAAACATAATGAATGGTAACTTTGGGATCCTTTTATGGACCAATACTAAACGTAGATTTTTATCGTATAATTGTTAAATAACTAAACTATTCATATTCCTCTTATTATAAACTTTATTTTGACCTATGAACTATTATTATACGATTTATCATTCTTGAATTATGCCCTGTCTATTAGTCACTGCTTCACACATTCACAGCCACATTTGGCCAAATTTTGTGCAAATGTTATTTTCTATTTTATGGTACGTTGTGGTCTGTTTTTATTGGTATATAAACTCGGTATGTTTGAAATATAAGGATTCATATTGCAGAGGCCGAGATTGGTGTTCTGGACTTAACTGGCTGGGCTAGGCGGAAAGCGGGACCAATCAGGAATCTAGGCTGCTCGCATGTGTTTTACGCGTCGTTGGTCCGATCGATAATTCGCTGCTTCTGATTGGCAGCTTTGGGCTATAACATTTCATTGGTTGACAGTGGCTAATTATACCTTCATTAGTTTGATACGAATGATACATGTATACGATTATCGTATTATAAATAACTGTAAAGAAGATAACCAATAAAACAATATCTAATCACTTATCATCTTTTACTAAAGTTCTTAAATTCAATGAGCGATAGATAGGCCAACATATTCAATGATTAGTTATTCATCATCTGAACACACTGAGAGCATTTACCTGGACATAACTCGTCAAGATATCATCATATATTTTATTTACGAACAGTGAAAATGAGTCATTTACTTCGGGCGAAGTTGAAAACCTGGTAAATCCTATACGTGCTGTTCAGTCAGTCAGCTACAACGTAGGACCAGGCACATATGTGCATCGGTCCAGGTCGCCATACCGCATTAGCACAGCAAGATGAACACCGGATTCATAGGAGTGGTTAGGTCAAAGGTGGTAATATATAGGAGAAAGATTGCAATAAAGATATAGTATAGGAAGAAAGAATTAGTTCGTAGAAAGAAAGATATGAAGTGATTTTAATCTCTTAGTTTAAGGGAAGACAGGGAGTGTATACACCTACGCCATTGTGATCGATTCTGAGCCATGTCACCAAGAGTCTCCAACCATTGGTTACGATAGTCACGCGGACCCCAACCAAATAGTCTGCATTTACCAACATGGCTCAGACTAGAAGTTAGTGACTTTAGGCACTGATGCCACGTTTTGGTTTGGCCGCCCCTAACTTTCTTCCAACCATCCCCTACACCGGTTAGCATTGCACGTCGTGGTAATCGGTGTTCAGGCATACGTAGTACGTGGCCCAACCATCTCAGTCGATGAAGATTCATAACCTCATCAACTGATTAACCATCATTCCCTAATACCCTGCGCCTAACCTCACTATTACTTACCCTGTGATCCCAGCAGATGCCAGCAATATTTCTAAGGCATCTGTGGTCAAATACTAGTAGCTTACGCGTGTCTTCTACTCTTAAGGGCCATGTTTCGC